TTCTGGTCCCAGTGGTTGCTGGCAATTTGTGGCATTAATCAGTTTGTAGATACATAATTCCAGTATCTGCCTCCTTCACGTGGCCTTTCCCCATCTGTGTCTCTTCTCTTCTTATAAGGACTGCAATCAAAATGGATTTGGGGCTTACCCTACTTTAGTATGATCTGATCTTAACTAATTACAAAGACCCTATTTCAATGTAAGGTCACATTTTGGGGTTCTGAGAAGGATGTGGATCTTTGGAGGCCTATTCACCCCAGTACAGTCCACTTACTCTACACTCTTGTAAATAGTTCCTTCATTAAACTCCAGTTACCCCCTTGTAAGTGTGCAGTATGGGGACATTGGTGATACAAAATATACCTTAGAATCAATACATACACTATTTATTTTTGACTAACAGGAACTGCACTAGAATCTTATATTAGTTAAGGTAAATGATAATCTCAGAATACAGGGGCTTAAATAAGAAATACAGTTGAATCTCACTATTTGCAGTAGTTATGTTCTATAAAGTCAGTGTGAACACTGACTTAGCAAATACAGAACCACTGCTCCTGGGGAATATACAGGATTAGGTTCCTATGAGCCTTTGGTCACAACATTTTTCATCAATCATTCAATATACAATTTGTTGTATGGGTGTTTCTGTTTAAGGACACCTTACTTAATATATACTGTTGATTCATTAATGTTGAACTCCTGGTCGACAGCACTGTGACTCATGCCTGAAGGAAGCTTATCAACACATGCATTTTCTCTTTAAAGCAAATCACAGCTTCCTGTGCTTAGGAACACAAGATAACACTTTAGCAGTGTGTTTGGAGGCCATTTTAAACTGAGAAATTACTAACAAAGAGCACAAAAGTGCAAAAAATGTGGCTCTAAATAAACCATGAAAAAGAGACTTATTTACAGTATTAGAGCTGAAGCAAAAAGGCAGAGTGATGCCCTCTTTGACTTTAGCTGGGAACAAGCATGTTGGATGACAAATTTTTCACCACTATCTGCAGGTGTGTATCCACCAATGATTGCAAAGGTACCATGAGTATTGCTTTGGAGTTACCAATAAATTGTAGCAAGTAGGGAAAAATCACAAATACAGATTCCACAAATAATGAGTATTTATTGTACATTTTGTTTTTCTCTTACATAAAGGTCTAGCCCATGCAGAGTGGTGAGGCAGTTTTCCAGGAGGTTATTCAGGAACTCAGATTCCTTCCATCTTGTTACACTGTCATCCTCTAGGGTAATGTATTCCTCTGCGTTAAAGTTGAATTGCAAGAGCATCTAAGTCCCGCCGCTTAGAGAGGAGAAAGGAGAGAGAGTTCAAGGCAAGCAATATCTTTTAAAGCACATTGAAATTGAAGTTGCACAAATCATTTAGAAAAAATTTAGTCATTTTTATCACATCTCTCTGCAAGAAAGGCTAGAAAATGTATCTGGCTAGGTGGCATGCACCCAGGGAAAAAAAGGGGAGACTAGATTTGGGCTGAATAACTGGCAGTTTACCACCAAGAGCAGTGAAGAAACTCTCATCCTGAAACGCCAGCAATGCTGTATCATAGAAAGCCTGGGGAAAGCTGGCTTCTGTTCTAGCTCTGCCACTACCTTCTCTAATATGTGCATTTAATGCTCTATATTTATCTCTAAGTAATGCTTTAGCTACAATAGACAAATTTTGATATGTCCTATGTTCATTTAGTGCAAAAGTTTTTTTAAAAATTTTTTGTAGACACATGGTTTCGCCATGTTGCCTAGGCTGGTCTCGAATTCCTGGGTTCAAGCAATCTGCCTGCCTCCGCCTTCCAAAGTGCTGGAATTACAGACATGAGCCACCGTGCCAGGCCAACATTTTATATTCTTTTTTTTTGGAGTTTTTAAATGGAGTTTCACTCTTGTGCCCCAGGCTGGAGTGCAGTGGCACGATCTCAGCTCACTGCAACCTCCACCTCCCAGGTTCAAGCGATTCTCCTTCCTCAGCCTCCCAAGTAGCTGGGACTACAGGTGCCCATCACCGCACCCAGCTAATGTTTGTATTTTTGGTAGAGATGGGGTTTCACCATGCTGGCCAGGCTGGTCTCAAACTCCTGACCTCAGGTGATCTGCCCGTCTCAGCCTCCCAAAGTGGTGGCATTACAGGCGTGAGCCACCACGCCAGGCCATTTTTTTTTTTTTTCAGATGTAGTCTCGCTCTGTCACCCAGGCTGGAGAGCAATGGCATGATCTTGGCTTACTGCAACCTCTGCCTCCTGGGTTCCAGCGATTCTCCTGCTTCAGTCTCCTGAGTAGCTGGGATTACAGGCATGCATTACCATGACCTGCTAATTTTGTATTTTTAGTAGAGACGGGGTTTCTCCATGTTAGTCAGGCTGGTCTTGAACTTCCGGCCTCAGGTGATTCGCCTGTCTCAGCCTCCCCAAGTGCTGGAATTACAGGCGAATTTTTATATTTTAAGTAGAGACAGGGTTTCACCTTGTTGGCCAGGCTGGTCTCGAACTCTTGACCTCAAGAGATCTGCCTGCCTTGGCTTCCCAAAGGCTGCGATTACAGGTGTGAGCCACCACACCTGGTCTGACATTTTATATTCTGTTTTCTTTTCTTTCTTTCTTTCTTTTTTTTTTTTTTGAGACCAAGTCTCCCTCTGTTGCCCAGGCTGGAGTGCAGTGGCACGATCTTGGCTCACTGCAACCTCTGCCTCCCCAGTTCAAGCGATTCTCCTGGCTCAGCCTCCTGAGTAGCTGGGATTACAGGCATGCGCCACCATGCCTGGCTAATATTTGTATTTTTAGTAGAGATGGGGTTTCACCATGTTGGTCAGGCTGGTCTCAAACATCTGACCTCATGATCTGCCCGCCTTGGCCTCCCAAAGTGCTGAGAGTACAGGCGTGAGCCAGTGCATCCAGCCTACATTCTATTTTCTTTTGTCCTTTTTTTTAAAGGAATTAAACGGATTTCATGACCTCATTGGCTGGGTATCTGCATTTTGAAAACACTATAGTATTTCAAAGAAAAGTGGCATCTCGTAGCAAACAATGAAATCCTACCTAAAGAAGAGAATCTTAAAACTTCTAGGCAGAAGAATAATTTTTCAGTGCAAAATATTTTCTGATTTCCCTTATGACTTCCTCTCTGATCCATGGGTTATCTAGAAGTATGTTTGATTTCTAAATATTTGGAAAACTTCCAAATCTCCTTTCATTGATTCCTAACTTAAATCCTTTATGGTCAAACAACATACTTTGTATTATTTAAATTATTTTAAATATGTTGCAATTCATTTTATGGTCCAGAATGTGGTCTATATTGGTGAATGTCCTGTGAATACTTGAAAATGTGTAGTCTGCTGTTACAGGATACAGTATTCCAGAAAGGTCAGTTAGGTCAAGTTTGTTGATAGTATTGTTCAGGTCTTTTATATTCTTACTGATTTTCTGTCTTCTTTTTCTATTTATGACTGAAAGAGAAATGTTGAAGTCTCTAGATATAATAGTGAATTTATCGATTTCTCCTTTTGATTCTATCAGCTTTTGCTTCATGTATTTTGTTGTACTGTTAGGTACCCTCACATTTAGGATTGTCTTTTTTGTGGGTTGATCCTTCTGTCATTATATAATGTCCCTCTTTATCCTTTTCCTTTGTTTTGGAGTTCACGTTGTTGGACATAGCCACTTGTGGTAAGCAGAATAATGCTCCCACTCTCCACCCCACTCCCCACCTCTCCCACCCCTGCCCTGTGTTGACATCTTAATCCCCAGAACCTGTGGATATATTGGGATAAATTGCATTATATTTCAATGGGAAATTAAGGTTGCAGATAAAATTAAGTCTGCTAACCAACTGACCTTGAAATGGAAAAATTATCCTGGATTATTTGAATGGGCCCAGTGTATTTATAAGTGTCTTTTTAAGTTGAGGCAAGAAAGAGAGAGTCAGAGGAGGAGATGTGATGATAAAAGCAGAGGTTGGAATGAGATGATTGTTGGCTTCGAAGATGGAAGAAAACCAAGGGCCAAGGAATGTGGACAGCTCTAGAAGCTGGAAAGGGCAAGGAAATTGATTCTTCCCTAGAGCCTCCATTGTTCATTTCCACTCAGGTTGGCCTGACTCCTTGCTGCTTCTAGCTTGACCTTTTCTGGAACTCTTGTTTTGGCTTTGAACCTTGCCCTGTTGAATAGCAAGACTGGAACTTACCCAGAGTTTTCTTTCAGTCAGCAGAATGTGGAAAACTAAGATACATCTTTCAGGTGATAGTATACCCACCATGCTTAGAAGCAATTCACAGGCCCTGCACATAATCAAAGAGAAGGGAATACAAGAGGTGAGAATACCAGGAAGTAGGGACCATGTTCAGTAAATATATACTTACATATAGTCTGCCACCATATGTAACTTGTAGAGTTAAGAGAATAAAGTAATGACTTACTCTTATTTGAAGAATTTGAATTTAACTTTGATTTATTTTGAACAAATTTTGTGTTCTTGAGATCACAGGTGTTTAGGGTGCAAGGACTATGAAGTTGTTGTTTTAATATAGTATGCAATGGTTTGCTTCAAATGGAGGACCAAAATATTCAGAATAAAGTGATCTCACCTTGTTAAGAAGGGAATGACTGAGAGGATTTAACTTCAAGCTCCCAAATAAGTGGTTGCAACACACACACACACACACATATATATAATGGAAAAACATGTATGTTTTTTCATATATATATATACACACACACATATATATAGCTGCCCCTCCATATCCATGGGCTCTGCATCCACAGATTCAACAATGGATGGGAAGAAAGTGGGGAGGAAGGGAAAAAGAAAGAGAACCAGGGTGCAAATCAAATAGAACAATGATAGGGCCAGGTGGCTGCCAGTTTGTGACTCTTGCTTTATGTCAACTTCTTAGTTTCTGTCTTTTCCCAGCAATTCGAGATGTGTTTAAGAACTTAATTCAAGGTGTACTTGGAAGTAGATCAAATGCAGGTAGAATTTCCATTGCCTTGTCAATTCTTTAAATCTAACCATACAGTTTTTATTGAGCACCTAACATACACAGTCTATCATTACATCACACACACAAATGAAATACATTAATAATTAGTTACATGAAACAGAGAGATACAAATTCCATAATGGTCAAAATGACTCTGAGATACATACTTACATTTTAGCTATTTTAAAAAATATCATCAAATATAAAGAGAATCACTTTTTACTGGAACACTCAACATCTATAATTCACTTCTAAATGCAGAAGGTTAATGGGAAAGTTCCAGAACATTAGTCACCATTTTGTTAAAAAGTAGCACTTCTAGTGGCACACCCCTGTAGTCCGAGCTACTCGGGAGGCTGAGGCAGGAGGATCATTTGAGACTGGAATGTCGAGGCTGCAGTGAGCCATAATTGCACCACTGCACTCCAGCCTGGATGACACAAGACCCTGTCTCAAAAATAAAAGTAAAGTAGCACTTATAAGCCAAGTGCAGCGGTGCATGCTTGTAGTCCCAGCTACTCCTAGCTATCCTGGAGGCTAAGATGTGAGGATCCCTTGAGGCCAGGAGTTGGAGACTGCAGTGCCTATTATTGCATCTGTGAATAGCCACTGCACTCCAGCCTGGGCAAGCCAGACCCTGTCTTAGAAAAAAAAAAAAAGTAGATCTTCTAAAAGAATGGAAAGGAAATCATTCTGCAAACCTTTCCTTGGAGCCAGTTTTGACCTGTGAGGCTTCTGTTCCTATAAAGGTTATCTATGACACCCACTACGCCGCATCCAAGTTTATACCAATTCAAAAAGGGGAAAGAAGTCTGCAGTCTTGTTAGCTGATTAGGTGAGAAGACATGATTCAACCTGGCTCAGGTTGGCAATTGCTCATGGCTGCATTTAATAGAAATGTTAAACAATAAGCATTGCATCCCCCTCCCCACATGGGACTCACATCACCTTAGTCACTCTATCTCCCCCTTATTCTCAGCCTCTCTCGACATCGATTTCTCTCCCCAGTCTCTAGTTTTTGCACACTTAAGGTACTCCTATTTCTGTTTCCATTATTTTTCCTACTCTTAATCAGGACTGAGACTCTTTAAAATTTTTAACGTCTCTGCTATCCTAGAGATTCTCCATACCCCTTACACTCTCATCCCAAGCACCCCACCCTTACCCTTGCCCCCGCCCCATTCGGGAACCTGGACTTCTCCCCATTCTCTATCATGGTAGCCCCCGGTCTAAGACGGCCTTAGCTTTCCCTTCCCCACGCCTCCCCCCCATCCCTCCCTAAGCTGGCAGGCAGTCTCAGCCGTTCCAGAAATTGACAAAGAAGTTGCAGAGGGAGTGCCACTTCTCAGCGCAGTAGGTCTCCGTGAGCTCCGCGTTCCCATCTAGCCCGTCGGGGTCGGGCCCGGTCCCCATGGGTCGCTCCTCGTTGGGGACCAAGGCCGCCTTCCTCTTGCCCCCGTTGGTCTTCCTCTCAGAGGGGTTTTCCTTCGGCGGTGCGCTTTGGGGTGGCGTGGTCCCAGCGGCTGGGCCGGGCGCACGCTCCCGGGGCCGTCCCCGGCTGCGGGCCCTGGGCTTGGACTCCCCCGCGAATCCCGCGGCGGAGGGGCGTGCGGGCGGGGACGTGCGGGGCACTAGTCGGAGCTCGGCACCGTGGCCCTTCTTGCCCGCGCACAAGCGGGCCTGGAGCGGCGTGGGGTCGTGACAGGGCCTCCGCTTCTTGCGCAGCCCGCCCAGCACCTGCTTCCAGAAGTGCGCGCTGCGAGCGGCGTAGGCTACGCAGCGCTGCGGCTCCCCGCGGTAGGCGCACTGGTGGCGTGCTCCGTCCGGGCTCTGGCAGCGCAACGCCAGCTCGCTGCCCGCTGCGGCCCCCGGGGCGGGAAGCAGGAGCTGCCAGCTGCACGCGTGCTGTTCGGGGCTGAGGAAGCGACCCGAGGAGCTGCCTGTGGGCCCGGGGACCGGCTCCACCACGTTGCTAGCAGCCCCCTTTTCTCTCCGAGCAGCCGCGAGGAGGCAACCACTCAGCAGCAGCAGCAGCAGCAGCGACGGCGACAGCGACGCTCGCAGCCTCGGAGGACTCATGCTCCGCGGTTTCCGCGCTCCGCTCTTCTCGGACGGCGTCTGTCGGGGCTGGACCAGGCAGAGAGCATTCCCTGGACCTGCGGACAGAGGCAGAGACAACACCAACTGAGCTAGGCGCAGCGCTTTGCCCAGATACATGCACCTGCGTACTACCCTTCCGCAGACTTTCTGGAAGCTGCAGCCTGCGAGGAGACCCTCTGAGGAGCTTTCCTGGGGAAACTGCTTACTGTCTAAATAATCACTTTCAAACCATGTATGCATTGAGATTTTCTTCCCCTTGCAAATACGATAGCAAAACGATGCGTGATAATTGCCCCCTCCACCCCTTCCTTCGTTTTCTCCCTTCTCCAACGTCCAGTAAACTATCTACAAAATCATTTCAGATGATTCCTTGGAAACATGAACTTTACTACACTTTGAACTTACCGAGTTCTGGGAGAGGCGCCAAAGCCTTATTAGGGTAGATGGAACGACTGCACAGGGGAGTAGTCTGTTTTAGCCGGCTCCTGTGAATGAACGTGGTATCAATGGAACAGAAGAGGCCTACCCTTCTTCGCCCCTCCCAGATTTCTCTCGCTCTGGGAGACTTATCACCGCCGCGCTTCTCTCTCTCTCTCTTTCTCTCTCACTCTATCTCTCTCTCTCTAGATGGATGATGGAAGCTGTCCTGTAGCATGAAATATAAATCTTGTATTTTGCTTCCAATGTTTAAAGTAATCAGGCAGAATTAACCAAGTTTTTATCCAAAAAATAAAAATTAAACAAAAGATGTAAGTTTTAAAAGTTAAGTAAAATGAAACAAAACAAACTTCAGTATTCTAAACTAGACATTTTTTACACAATTATTTACATTCTATTTCTCATATTCTGAGTTCTATATTTTCACCTATTATTTCCAGTAGCCTTTCTTATCCTGACTCTCAATCTTAATAATTGTTACTACTAATAAAAATATAATATCTTAGTTTATTAACATACAATAGTGCCCAGCAGTTCACCCAGGAGTAGACATTTGGGCTTTTGATTATTTTTAGGTATTATAAATCAATTATAAATGTCCTCCAAAAATTAGAAGTTTAAAAAAATTATTGGTATTATAGTAGGTAAGATTACCAATTGAATGGTATAATAGCTAAGAATGCGAGACTAGCCTGGCCTGGTGAAACCCCGTCTCTACTAAAAATACAAAAATTAGCCGGGCGTGGTGGCAGACTACTGTAATTCCAGCTACTCGGGAGGCTGAGGCAGGAGAATCACTTGAATCCGGGAGGCGGAGGTTGCAGTGAGCCTAGATCGCGCCATTGCACTCCAGCCTGGGCGACAGAGCGAGACTGCCGTCCAAAAAAAAAAAAAAAAAAGAAGAGAGAGAATGAATGTGGTTTCTGGATCTGAATGCCACATAGCGGCGCGGTGGCTTAACCTGTAATCCCACACGTTTGGGAAAGGCACGAGTGGTGGGATCATGGAGTCCAGGAGACGAATCATCCTGGCTAACACGGTGATAACCCGTTCTCAACCCTAAAAAATACAAAACTACTCACGGCCCGTGGTGCGGGCCGCTGAGGTCCCAGCTAATCGGAGGCCTGAGGCGGGAGAATGCCAGTGAACTCGGAAGTTGGAGCTGCAAGTGAAGCGAGATCGGCCACTGCACGCCGGGCCGGGCCACAACAGCCGAGACTCCGTCTCAACAAAAACAAAAAAACAAAAAAAAACAGAAAATGTTCACATTAAGCAAGCTGCTTTTTTGGAGGCGGGGGAGTTTGTTGCGCTGAAGTTTCTTTGTTTGTTTTGTTGTTTGTTTTGAGATGGCGCGTCCACCTTCCGTCCCCAGGCTGGAGTGCAATGGGTGCTATCTCACACTCCACCGCCACTAATCTCTCCCCACTGCAACCTCCGCCTCCGTTCAAGCGATTCCCCTGCCCTCAAGCTCCTGAGTAAGCTGGAATTACAGCCGCCTGCCACAACACAGCCTAATTTTTGTATTTTAGTGGAAATGGGGCTTCACGCATGTTGGCCAGTCTGGTCTGGAACTCCTGACCTCAACGATTCCCGCACTCCTCAGCCTCTGAAAGTGCTGACCAAAGCAAAGCTGGGTTTTTTTTTTTCTTTACTCTTTTCAAAAATTTTATTTAGAAGCCTACTTGTAGAAGTTAGCATAATTTTACAGCTTATTAGAAAAATTCAATTATTTTCTCTCTGCAAACGTTATAATAGGTTAGGAATAATAGATCAGAAATGTACTATATTACAAAACAGTGGCCTATAACTATTTGTACATTTACTGTGCACCTTAAGGAAAAGAATTTGACAGTGTGCTGTACTTACACTGCAGGTAACATATTTTTATTCTATTACACAAAACCGACCAGTGGTAGTGCTTGAATTTATAAATGGCCATTAAACAGAATATTTAAACTCAGATGTATATTTAGCATGCTAAAAAGTGAAAAAAAATCAACTGAAGTTCTGTGGCTCATCAGTTCAAATGTTTCATGGCATTTTTTTCTTTAAATGAAAAATTTTGATATTGTAAAACAAATAATTTTAAAAGATAAAATTTTCTGGCCGGGCGCGGTGGCTCAAGCCTGTAATCCCAGCACTTTGGGAGGCCGAGGCGGGTGGATCATGAGGTCAGGAGATCGAGACTATCCTGGCTAACATGGTGAAACCCCGTCTCTACTAAAAATACAAAAAACTAGCTGGGCGTGGTGGCGGGCGCCTGTAGTCCCAGCTACTTGGGAGGCTGAGGCGGGAGAATGGCGTGAACCCGGGAGGCGGAGCTTGCAGTGAGCCGAGATCACGCCACTGCACTCCAGCCTGGGAGACACAGCGAGACTCCATCTCAAGAAAAAAAAAAAAAAAAAAAAATTTCTAAATTTTTAGAAATAATATTCACATTCATTTTGTCATGGGTTTCATGTGGCTTTTCTAAATATATTAATCATATTAATAAGACATTGGTCCTATACAATTTTAAGAGTCCATCTTCAATTAAAAACTGTAACAAAAATAAACAGTATGTAAAGAGTAACAAAAAGTAAATTAAATATATTGAACTCACACAACAGGTAGAATAAAATGAAACCAAATTACATAATGGCAGGTTATAAATTTTAAAGAATCTCTGTCCACTTAGTCAAATAAGATAGAAATTGAAATGTAAACTTACTGATTTCTGTGGGATTTTCCCCACTGGTTCAAATTGGAAAATTTGATATAAATCTAATATTTTATTTTTGTACATTTAATATGATTCAATATAATCTGCACAGTCTCATGTATAGCTTATCAATAATGCCATCATCACAAAAAACCTCACTGCTTACTAGAAATGCTAAACACTGGAAAAAATGGAATTTTATACATTTGTTTTCTTCAATTTCGACAGATATTCTTCAAAAAGTTAAAACTGCCTTCCACAAAATTTTGTGTGTATATGGCACGAGTTGACAGCCAAAGAGTGTGAATTCCATCAAAAAGGCACTGTTAACAATACTCAGAATAATCTGACGAGTCTACATCAATGTCTGAGTAAAGAACAGGTAAGTAGACAAACCCTTATAAAAGATAGCATTATTGTTTAAATATACTATAGCTATATAAAAGCAAATAAAGTGACACACAGAAATGACCCTTAGCAAAGCTGTTTTTAAACTTCAGAATATTCCATCATCTTTTAAAAATGTTCTCATTAATACATGTGATTTTTTTAATTGCAAGAGTTTATACCTCTGACTAATTTTTTTAGACAAGTCAACATTTTCCGTAACTAATTCCCCAAGATATCAGGAATTCTTATCATATTTCCTAATGTACTCTTGCATATAACATTTTCTATTACTGAACTCCTATTAGTATTATATTTGAACAATCATAGTTTCATTACTATAAAAACCAAAATACTTTAGAATTAGAAGAATGTGTTTAAATATATAGTAGTATATATTAAACATATAGTAATGTATATTGACTTCCGAAAGGAAGTTTTTTTCACTCTGGTAACATCAGAGAAACTAAATAACTTGTCCAGGGTCACACATCATTTAGTGATAAAACCACCAACATCTTTCAGTGATCAGTGATCTTTATGTTTTGTCTTTGTATTTCACTATTAGTTATGTTTTAATTATACCAGTTCAGGCTGGGCATGGTGGCTCATGCCTGTAATCCCATCACTTTGGGAAGCCAAGGCGGGTGGATCACTTGAGGTCAGGAGTTCGAGACCAGCCGGGCCAACATGACAAAACCCCGTCTCTATTAAAAATACAAAAATTAGCTGGGCGTGGTGGTGCATGCCTGTAATCCCAGCTACTCGAGAGGCTGAGGCAGGAGAATCACTTGAATCCTGGAGGCAGAAGTTGCAGTGAGCCGAGATCATACCACTGCACTCCAGCCTAAGCAACAGAGCAAGACTCTTTCTCAAAAAAATTAAATAAATAAAAATTTAAAAATAAAAATTAATTACACCAATTCAACTTATAATGAAAACCAATTTGTACCTATGAAGATTAGAAACATTAACATATTTCACAAATAAGAGTAGTTAATTAATACATTTCACACATGGAAGCCCTTTCTTTCCCAGAAAACTGTCTTTGTATGTGTGAAGCATGGATGAGTAGTCACAGGCTTTTGTCTGTTGCCTTAGCATTACTTTTTTTTTAACTACTGAACCGAATTGGTACCATTTTTTTAATGAAAGAATGACATCTTGTGGCGTAATGCTCTAATTACAATAAAAAAAATATCTGAACAGCTGTAATTAAGAGATACTCTAGAGACCATGCTTCGCTGTCACAAACATTGTTCCCAGAGTAAAAAGTAAGGGCACATAGACATATTATGCAGTAGCAGAAAAGGGGAGTTATTTTTTTTTTAAATTGTGGCATAATATGCATAACATAAAATTTGTCATTTTAACTATTTTTAGGCGTACTCTTCGGTGACATTAAAAAGATTCACACTGTTATGCAACCTTTATAGCTATCCATCTCCAGAACTTTTTTTTGTCCTCGAAAACTGAAACTCTGTACCCATTCCTCCCTTCCCCCAGCCCCTGGCAACCATCATTCTACTTTCTGTCTCTATGAATTTGACTACTCTAGGTATCTTATGGTAGGTGTAATCCTACAGTATTTGTCCTTTGTGATTGGCTTACTTCACTTAACACAATGTCTTCAAGGTTTATCTGTGTTATAGCATGTGTCTGAATTTATTTCACTTTTAAGTCTGAATAGTATTCCATTGTATGTATATACCACATTTTGTTTACCCACTTAGGTTGTTTCCATACCTTGGCTATTGTAAATAATGCTGCAATTAACATGAAAGTGCAGATATCTTTATGAGGTGGTCATTTCATTTTCTTTGGATATATGCCCACAAGGGGAATTGCTGGGTCATATAGTAGTTGATTTTCAATTTCTTTAGAAATCTCTACACTGTTTTCCATAATGGCTGTACCAATCTACATTCTCACCAAGAGTGTACAATCTTTTCCCCATGT